AGCTCTCAATTTATTGCCGATTATAGGACTCCCCAGGTCCTCTGAGAATACCCAGCTTAGAACAACCATGTGTGTAAATTCTGGCCTAAATATTGAAATTTGCTATAAGATTAGATGATTTCGCAGCTGAGCCTAATGATTTATTCGTAACAATTTTCATAAAACTGAAGGTAATCTGATTTTTTACTTCCTTTGTCGTTTCTAGGCCACCTAATTACTCTGGATTCCTTTAGCATTGGATTGACACTCATAAACTAATCTTATTATATCACAAGCTTTAGGCAAATCAAGGTATATAAAACAAATAAAGTTGACTTGGGAGAAGAATCTTATGTAGTGTTAACAATAGCAGATCATGGAAAACATTGATAAAAAGAAAGAATAAAAAATATGAACATTTTCCAAAATTGTATTTTATACTTTAATAAAAAGACGGTTTTTAACTACCCTGTTGTCTGATTATTGTATTCTGGACTAAAGGTTAAGATAAAAGTGTACAGGATTAAAACTTGTTTTTCAAATGCATTAAAATGAGTTGTGGAAAAAAGGGTTGCTAGGCGAAGATGAGCCTCATACCTGCCCTATTGTCAAACACCAAGGGCGATATAAGCAGAGAGGTGTCAAGACAATCATCACCCTGATAAACATACAACATTTAGCTCAAGCGTTATGCCGGTATTAATTTGTATCTTTGACTATTAATGAATTTTCTTGGACAACAAGGATCTAATTGATAGATGCGACTTAAGACAGTGAATACATACACAGATAGAAATAAACGTATGCAAGCTAGAAGAGTATGGGAACTATTAAGAGGCGTGAGGGTAGAGGATTCCGAGGAAAATTCAGCACGATCCTATTACGCAGATTCGGGTATATGCGCGCAGCATGTACATTCCGAATGGACAAAATCTTAATGAATCCGTCCCTGACGGCCCATTAGATTTTACGAGCAAAATATACCTACATAAACAGTCAAACCAGCGGAACTAGCTAGGGCACTGGCAGACAAAATATGATGGCTTCAGGACCCTATCTTACAGATGCACAACCTTTATTTCTATAGCCTAATAGATGGATACTGATAGTAAAGGAATCAGTACGGGCAGGGAGAGTAAAGACGAAGTAAACGAATTTAGTGACCCTGGCGGCAGATGGCTCAATTAACTAGAAACGTTTGAGCCGCACTGTCTCGCCAGACCTCTTTAACGGCGACCAGAGAGACGGCCAACTAAATGTAGGACGGAGTAGCACGCGGTGATGCGAAGGAGGAAGACAACTTAGAACAAGTCAATAAAATGGGATAGATCTGGCTAGACACAACAGCAGCCTAGTATGCCGAAAAACAGGCCTGTGAGCATAATTTTTGAAGACAGACCGGAAAGGGGTATCTTCCAAAGCACCATGAAAAGTGGTGCAGACTAACCCTGCTAGTCGGTATACCCATGGCTGGCCGGCCCATTCAAAGGTTCATCTATCCACAGACCGGTGTCCCAGATAAGAAAGGCCACCAAAACAAGGTATGTATCCATAAATGAGACCAATTCGATGCTGTAAAGCAAAATGGAGAACCAAGAAGATTTGGCATCGCCTTAATTGGGCTCCACGGGATAGCAGCATATCGAGCCACCCGAATATCCCAAAACACTCCAGAATGGGGCCGTCTGTACAAATCCAAGGTGTATTTTTTACTTTTTAGCAGGCCTCAGTTATCTCAGATCAGAGTTCACTATAGCAACTACTCGTCCCATGGAATTGGGCAACGCCACGTGCCCGCTCACTTATTACTTTTGAGGTAGAGCCAGATGCGTTTAAGTATATCTGGAATAATAACTTGAACCAACTTAGGTTTATCAAGGTGAATAGCATACAATGAAATGAGTGGAAGGTCCCTAGAATCCAGGCCGTTATAAATTCACATTTGTACTGAGACCGGACGATAAGACAACCTCTTATTTGACATTTCGTTTGACGGTATTGCGATGGTTACTGCCTAAGAGCGGTTTCATTCTGTCGTCTAAGGCGATAAAAGACTGGTGGTTGAATTATCCCACAAGCATATGAGCAAGCCCCACATTTCCAGTGAGTTTCACATAGCCTTGCCTCCAAAAAGGTTTCTCATCAAAAGCGGACCGCCATTATGACCATGCCTGAATTGGTATCATCAGCACCATGAGCCCGAATTGTGGTAGTGCAGCATGTAGTCTCGACACGTTAACCACTACGCCACACTTCCACGAATGCCTTTGGGTCACAGAGGGGAGATGAACTTTAGGAAAGCCTAGGCCATACATATAGCACACTTCTATGGTAGGATTGTCGACAAAATAAAGTTATATTTACTGTTACGCTCGACTACTTTACTTAAATTCCGTTTATAAGTAGGTTTTCGGGACTACCAGTATATGTTAAATAGGAGCCCAAGACAAGAACACCTTTTGAGAAACAAGGCTGAAATTCCATGGAAACGTGAGGCCTACTCATATGATTGTGGGAGGATCAAACTACCTATCCTTTATCACAAACGAAGTAGGTAGTCTCTAAAACCTATTTGTAAATGGTTAATATCCATCTATGAAAAGTGGGGAAAATATAGGAGTCAATAACTTTCTTTAAGAATACATATGTTTGGCACGTGGAATATACCACTTTTGACCGTGGTCTTTGAGGATGTATGAGCTTTTAGAAGGGATCACATCGGCGGAGTAAGAAGATCCGAATTATTAGCTCAGTTCTGAACGTTGTAGTGAAGCAGAATAAAAATGAGCCCTGTTGTTTGATTAAAATGCCAAGATTGACAGATTATTACGATAGCAATTCATTTAGTAAACAGCAACACCATCGAGTGTAAGGACTTTAGCCAACCTAGGTAGCCTAGGGAGATGTAACGACAAATGGAAGTGATTGGAGCTCATTTTCACAACTCGATCGTGTAATCGGAGAGACGTAGATGAACCCACCTTGTCCGAAGTCCCCTGAGATAGTAGTTTTGCCAACTTCCAGCAACTGAACGTGGACTTGGCGCATTCCAAGAATTTTCTAGCATTTCCAGTCATTATTGTCATTCTTAGCACCAAGCAACAACTTGTCAACTTGCCTCTGACGAGTTTTAGTTTAATGTTAAGAACGACAAAGTTCATTGAAAATGTCGGAGAAACTTTTGTGAACACACCAAGTTCACGATCCGATGCTGGGAGTGAGAAAAACTACTATGGCAGGATACTTGTAGGTCTGACTGAAAATATGACCAGTTTGCAAAAATAAAATAAAAATATTTGTATACAGCGAAATGAGACTGCGACTAAAATACAGGCCATGTAATCTTGGTCTTCAAATCTACCATTGGGACATAAAGTGGAATTTTCCCAAGATAAAATAATATAGAAGTAGTAAGATCAGGTTTTCGCAATTTGGTTATGTCAGAGCGACGCAGTTGGATGCACCTTGTCTCAAGTCATTTGCTACAATAGTCATCAAATTCCCAGCGTTAGAAAGTGGACTTGATACATTTCCATGAATCGTGTCATTCTCGGCACCAAATTAAAACGCGTCAGAGACAAATCTGGTGATTGGTGCTAAGAATGGCAAGACTCGTTGACGATTCCAGCAAAATGTCTGAAAATTTACCAAGTCCACGGTCCGACGCTGGGAAATATGCTGACTTCTATAGCATAGGACTTCGGAGAAGGCGCATCCGACCAAGTCGCCCTGACAACACCGCTGAGTCGCGAAAACGAGGTCAGGTCGCTTCTATACATAGAAAAAAACTGCGAACAAAATAAAGGCCACAACATCTTGATCTTCATACCTACATTTAAAACAATATGCTTCAAACAACCATGGAATTTCGCTTAGCCTCGTCTCCAAAAAAGTATTCACATTAGGCTGAAGTGAACTGCAGTTTCGACCCCACCTGAACTGGTCTCGTCAACCTCCCCAACTGGAATCGAACCCGATTTGTGGTGGTGCAGCAACGAACGCCAGTCGATCACATGGAAAAAGCGAATTTCAGGATAAGTCAGCATTTTGATAATTGGCTTGTTCAGAAATTCATGAACAACTCTTCATGATCTGAAGTGATCTAGTGTGGCTAAAGTGCTTAGCCAAGAGCTAGTGGTATTGCCGAATGTTGCACTAGCGACAATCCCCCTATGAAAATATGGTATTAGAGAGGCTTAGTTTACCTTGCCCCATGACCGATTGGAACTCGCGGAGGTGTGGTGTAGTGGTAACATTGCGAAATTACACGTTGCACTAAGCAGGTTCGAGACCCACTGGGGGCGCTGATGACAACCAGGCGAGGACGATCCTGCAGACAATTCTAGCCCGAGTGAGAATATATTTTGGGAGACAAGGCCAAGGGAAATTCAATGGCATTGTGAAGCCTATCAACTAATTGTGAGAAAATCCACCATTCTTTCATCAGCATAACCGACCTAGGCCGAATACAGCTTTTATTGTCTTTATATAATAGTTAAAACAAATAATATGAAATTTCATCCAGCCCTCCCTCCCAAAAGGTTCTTTCACTCAGGTTGGACTGCAATCTCATATTCTTCTAATTGTCTCATCAGCTACTGCAGGGATTTAG